TCATACTTTGAACTGTTAATGATTTTCTTATTATGCCGCATGTGTGGAAGGTATTTTCTAAATGCACACAAAAAGACACCCAGACAAATTTTCCACATTTATGATGTATCCATCAAAATAGTGTGTCTGTGTTTTATTTAGAAATCAAAGAGGGAGACGTAGAAATGTACAAAAAAGTGCAAAATCTAAAAGCGAAAGGACTGATGATAAGTACAATATAAGGAAGTTATAATGCTCTTTGTTTTTTTAAACAATGTTTACTGTTAGCTGTTCGGTTGAGTTGAGTTGAAGTGTGATACTCAAGCTTTGGACATTTGACCCCCCCGCCAGCACCATTACCTCTTTGAAAAAGAGTGCATCATTAAAGCACACTGTTAGTAAATAGGTTAGTAAGTGACTGTGGTCACTGTGACGCAATTGGATGCCGGCCATGAATTGAGACACATAAAGATTCAGTGGGTGGACTTAATTTAGTTGTTATTGTACAGTGTTTGAAAGTTGAGTCATGTCTGGCATCATCACAAACATCAGTGAACCAGCACAGACCTTATATAGTCTTTAAGGACCCCCAGCTGTCTGTGAGCAGCAGAGAGGGTCATCATCATATAAGTACCTGTTTTCACAGTAACACTGCTGATGAATACTTGTGATGCAGATGAAAACCAAGCAAAATGGACCTTGACTTAGATCATTTTCTGTCCTCATGAATACGATATCAGAGACAGGAGATGAATTGTGGACCATCATGGCGTCTGCTGCTGCCAGAATACTATCTGACTTGTGGAGGTCAGCATATTTGGGGTGCGGTTTAGTTGAGTTTGCCAGCGAAACCAGGCAGAACATCAAGGCTTTGGCTCAGGCTGCTGCTCAGGAGAGCCCAGCCGCTTCTCCGCTGGAAACAACAGCCTTCGGCTGTCAGTGTGCTCCTTCTGGACTGTGTCTAGTTGAGGTGATAAAGGAGCCAGAGTTTGAACTTTCCTCTCTCTCCTCCACACTGTTATTTCATTCATACACTTATTTCTGTCACTTTTTATGAGTGAAACACAATGAATGTCCTTCCACCATTATCCCCGTGTTTAAACAGAGTCAAGTATCCTCAGTCTCCATGGCAGCTGGCATTTCACTCAGTAAAACTGTAAACACCTTTGATTTCCATTGTGGTCAAGCAACATATCATATGATCTCCTCTGTTTGAGCATAATGTGACCCTCTGCATTTAGTAAGAAAGTAGTGTGATGTCGGCATTGTGGAATATGTAAATGTTTCAAAGGTGTGAGCTCCATCCACCTCCACTGAACTTGGGTGGAGGCAGATGTTTAACAACCTGGGTAAATAAAACCACAGCTGTCTGCACTGAGAGAGATAACATCACCAGCTGTTCACCAAAGGCTGTTATGTCATTTTGGGTGAACTAACCCCTTAGAAGTCCAGCAGTCAGTTCGTTTTTGAAGCTCAGGACTGTGGTTTATCTTAGTTTGAACCAACTTTTCTCGGCGAAGCAAAAGATATTCTAACATGGCAAAGTAAAGCTGTCATCATTATAACTCAGAATATTGGCTCTTGATGGAAACTCAATTAGCTGAAGAAATGTAGTTTCCCGCCCTCGAGCCAATTCCATGTTTCAAAGCCTGAGATCGCAGCAGTCAGAGTGCAGAGAGTTCCTCGTTGGTGGCTGGAAGCTAAACAGCGTGTCGAAATGATTTCAGTGTGTGACCTTAAGTCTGTGTCACACTGCGGAAGTTTCTGTCCCACATCAAGGAGCCTGAGTTGAACCAGAAATTAGGGTTGTAATCCAAGTATCAGTCAGCCTCAACTGATACCTGGATTACAACCATAATTTCTTTCTCATCAACACTGAGCTGCTACTTGCAGGGGCTGATGGGAAGACGACCATATATCCTTGTTAAGGCTGCCTAATTGACAGGAGAGGTTTACATATAGGTCAAAATGATGGCAATGAGGGTTTAAATGAATATGGGTTTGATCTTTGATATTAGTGATCTGCTATCCACTTGTGTTTTTGTCTCAACAAGAAATACATCGCAGTTACACTATATACAAGGCATGAAAGCCTTTTTTCTGTATCTTTCCTCTATAATATCGGAACACAAAGGTTTTGTCCGGTGAAATGGGAAAGAAAAGTGGCACCAAGAAAACGTTGTTTTGTCTTGCAATATGCAATTCAAGTTGTTTCTGTTGAGATTTGCAAAACATGAGAGAAGGGGAGTTTATAAAAATACCCTCAGCAGGTGATTCAGCACAGCAGACTGAACGTTTTTGTTGGTCGGACATAACGGGGAGATAGAGAGAGTGAGAGAGAGAGAGAGATTCTTTTGTTGATTTTTACAAAAACACTTTATTTACATATTTTCATTTTTACAAGTTTTTAAAATAAAGTGCTCATGTAATTAGAATAAATAAAAAATACATCAATCAGTTAAAAAGTGTGGAAAAGACAGCTGATCATCATTTACGGTGCAGACAATGTTTTTAAAAGACTCGAGATCAGAGACATGTTTATAAAAATTGAACTCGAGTCTGAGTCTTGCTCTGAGGTTTGTCACCCACACCGCCATTGCTTCCTGCCCTTCCCTGTTTTCCACCCTGTGTTTTCGGCTAATATAAATTGCCAGTTTGGCTTGACCTGAGAGGTAGTTTAGGAGCTGCCACTTCACTTGATTAAATTTGTTGTAGCCAGCTGCCTTGATAAAAACCTTCTCAGTAAAAATGACGTTAAAAAGACTAAAAACCGTGGTTAAAAGAGAGAAGAGACTTGTAAGTCTCTTGCGTTCTGTAAAAACGTGATAGACAGTCTCACGCAGATCGCAAAATGGGCACTTATTAAAAACAGAAATAAAAGCGTTGGAAGCAATGGCACCGTGTAAATTTCTCCACTGGAGGTCGCCGGTCCGGTTTTTTAGGTGAGGTTTATATAAAATCGGCCACTGTGGGCTGGGTCCATTTTCACCCCACCCCATTCTGACCTGTTGTTAACATGTTTCTCAAGAGATCTGATCACAAGTGAACATCTACAGCTGTCATTAGAATGTTGTCTCCTGTGACCACTTGTGATTAGATCTCACTTCATCAGCCGCATGATTTGATCGTGGGCAGCTGCGGATGAGGGGAAGTGTGGTCGTCCTCCAACGAGAAGGTTGGCAGTTCAATCCCCAGTCTGCATGCTGCAGTGTCCTTGGGCAAGATGCTGAACGGTGAATTGCCCCTCATAGAGTGCTATACTCATAGAACAAAAAGTGCAGCTAATAGAAGCCCTGTATGAATGTGTGTGTGAATGGGTGAATGGCAAAACAATACTGCAAAGTGCTTTGAGTGATTATCAAGACTAGAAAAGCTCTGTATAAATACAAATCATTACTTCACCAGGGCAAATAATCACGTAAGTCATTTCTTCAAATGATGTTTTGAACCAGTTTGACAGATGTGTCAGTTATTGATGTGTCTGAGTGTGTGATAGCGTGAGAGGGAAAGGGAGAGGTAGAGAAAGGAGCCAGAAGAGGTTTATCCAATTAATGGGCTGAGTGCAGCCTTACAAAATAAGATTCTACTCATTTGAAATAGTACAATAAATCAATATGTGGTGGTCAGTGTTGATATTGTGGTTGCGGCCCCAAAATATTTAACGTATTTGAAACACTCAGAAGTGTTAAAATACTTTTGGTTCATTATGAAACAGTGGTTCTTCATATGTGGCCCAGGACACATTTTTGTTCACACAGCGAAAAGAATGTGGCCACACTTCCCAATAATAGACAATAACAAATGTGTCCTCAATGTATTTTGGGTGCATTCATCCCTTATCTTTCGAGTTTGTATGACAACTGAAGGCTACCACAGGTTCTCTTTCATGTTTGGAAGGAGAGGGGGAGGTGAGGGGTGTTCAGCTGCAATGTGCAACTTCACCACTAGATGTTGCTAAATTCTACACACTGAACCTTTAACTTAGAGCTGTCCACCTGTGATGGGATCAGTAAGTGTGAATATAATACCAGTTGTAAGCAGAGCTCTCTGCTCAGCACCAACACTGAGGAAAACCACCAGTCCCACAGCACAACCGCAAATATGTATTGCGACATCTTTTGTAATTGAGCTGCTGATGTTTTTCAGTGATACACCCTTTAGACTTCTTTAAGGCAATGGCCACTTACTAGGCTTTTTCAGAATGTTCAACTGAATGGTCTTCATCAAAAAAATTACATTTAAAATGGTTGTCATGGAGAGACACAATAATGGAAAAAAATTGTTTCATGACAACTGAGCCAGTCGCTCCATTCACAGATGAAAACTGTCGTTGAAAGCCCGGGAAAAGCTCAGCGGGGGGGGGGGGGGTTGTCAAACTACTATTTTAAGGCCAAAAGGGAACTTTCATGTTGAGCTGTTAACCATATAACATGTGACAATCAGTAACCAAAGAAATCAACATAACCACTCACACTATCAACTGAAGGTCAGACTGCGTAACCAGAGATTAGACAGAGCCATTGTTGTTGCCACAACACACATAGCCATATGCAGTGGACTTATAGTGTTTTTTATTTTATTCATTTGTGTTAGTAATGAATATCAGGGAACCACTTTCAAAAGCTAAGAAAAAAAATAAAACAATGTGTCTGTTGTGTTTTTTGAACACCAGCAGCATTTCTACCTTCTCTTGACCAATCAGGATCTGTAAAAAGAAGTGGTTCAATGAGGTGAAGCGTAAAGATTTTTATCTTCAACTTGAGTTCCATGGTTAGAGAAAGAGCTCATTTATATCAGTTGTCATGAAACCTATGTAGTTTTTACATCAAGAGGAAATATAAACAGAATCTGTGCGCTGCACTGCTGTCAGTCGCTGCCTCGGTTACTGCTGCTGTCTTGTGAGAGCCAGTGTTCACACTTCCTTATTAACAGCTACATCACCAGTTCAAATTATTAGTGTGAAATCCAATAACCAGGCTCTTTGTCTCTCTTTCCTTCCCAACACACTCCCTCTTTTATAGCGCGACTTCAACTTTCTGGATCGCCAACCCCAATAACAACCTCATCAACTGTGCTGCTGCAGGCTCAGAGGTGAGTTTCCCTCTCCAGCTTTTCACTCTCCTCACCCTCCTCTCCCCGTCTTATGCTGCACTCTCAATACCTCCCCAGGTGGAGGTCTGTCTCATTACTACGTTGCCAGGCCAGATTAATGGCTGTATACTCCTATTAACTTCAGAATCAAGCAGACAACAGACAGAAGCGTTGCCGCACTTTCACTATGATAGAGTGCCAATTATGATCATGCTCCTGGGATTTCACAAGGATACGCCAGGCGGAATAGAATCTCATTCATTCTCGCCAATGTAATAACTTTTCTCATTTGCATTCACGTACGTGCGAAGAACAACAAAAAAACAGACAGGCTGACATGCAGAGTGGCACAGCCAGGGCTGTAGTTATGTATTTGGAAATATGAATGTGCTTTTTATATGAATAAACCTCTACATGAATCTTTGCTTCACAATTTTACTTATTTTAAAAACTGACAGTCTGTTTTCGTTTTGAAAGTCGTGTACCCCCGGATAGGAAATTAATGAGACAGACAATAAAACTGTGCAAAGGTTGTCACTCTGTCTCTTGGTGAGCTTTAGATGAACCCACAGGTTTTCAGTTATGTTCAAATCAGAGTACTGTTCAGATGGTGTTTCATCAGGTAGCTCTTGTGGATTTTGAGGTTTTGGATCATTGCTGTAGAAACCAGGTCATTTGCATCTTTCCCTTTACAGTGAAAATATTTCTCCTCTCTGTTCATGCAGGGTTGCACAACCCCTAAATAGAGTAATTCACAGGTAGTGGGTGTTCATTTCAATAAATGCTGCCTTTTTCTCCAAGCTCTCTCTGGAGTCAGAGCTCAGTTTTGATTTCATCTGTCCAAAACACTCACTTCCCTCTAACCGGTTTACCACTGAGTTTCTGTCCAGACGTCAGGGTGCTGATGATGAGGTCGCAGGTACCTTTTCCGTCTGATGACTCTGTGTCATCAGTTCTGCACAATGGATCAGTGAAGCATAACTCCTGTGCCCTGCAGCTCCTTTACGCTAATGTGCAGGGTCAGTTTTTCCTCTCTGTCCAGCACAGTTTTATCTCAACGTTCTCTTGGCCCTCCAGATCTTGTCTTGATTTTCACAGTTCGTCTTGACTGCAATTTCTTCATGACACTTCAGACAGAAGGAATTTCGGGCTGGAAATACTTCTCATTTGACAGCCTGCCCTGCTGTGAAGGAATCAGTGGGCTTCATTTTCAGATCCTCGGTAGCTCAGACGTTAACACAAAGCTTGAGGTTTAATGAATCAATGAAGTTATGAGACTTTATCTGTACATTTTTCACAAGTTACAATGACTGTTTATTTGATTTACTTTTTGATTGTTTGGTTCATGAGGCTTATATGCCACAGGTGTTTTGATGGAGTATTTGTATACATATGTGTGTGTGTGTGTG